CTGCATCCTTGGCCCTCCCTAGTCACTGGCTAGTCCAGCTTAAAGTTTGCTGGTGAATGCATGTGGTGCACCCCAGGCACACCAGAACTGGGGAAGACACACTCTCCCGTTTAGCTGGCACCAGGCACACAGGCTGTGACCCATGGTCCTGTTCCAGCAGCACTGAGCTCCTTGCTTGCCTTGCTCACACCGTCCCCCTGACAGCTGGTTTTGGGAACAGATGCTGTTCTTGCCCCAGTGGCTGGGGGTTAAAGACACCCCATGGGCTCCAGTAGCTGGCATGGAGATCCCGCTTGCTCCAGTCACTGGTACCACAGCCCAGGGGCACCCACCCCCTGGTCTGACCCTAGGAGCTGGTGCCAAATTGCCCTCATGCACACACAGGTCTCACTGGTAGCTGGCACCGAGCCCTTGCAGCGCGTGTTCACGTGGGACAGAGAGTGAGCATAGAGATGCTACAGAAAAGATTAAAAAAGAAGACATAAGCAGCTAGGCCAGACTGCAGTGATCAGGCAGAGGGCTCGGCCAGGCCAGCCTACCGGCCAGACCCACTTACAGCCCTTTCCATCTACCTCCCTTCCCTTGCGCATCCCCCACTCCAGGGCTCTGTACAGCTCTGTCGATTCCCACACCCCTCTCAGCCTGGGATCTCCCAGTATGCAATATTATCAGTTGCAAAGTCCAGGCTGATCTTCCTGGAAGTGGCACCTGTGGTTTCTTGATAGCCAATCAGTCAGTGCATGGTGAAGTTTGTTTCTTGCCGTTGTCTCCATGTTTGTTTTGTCAGGTTTGTGTCTCCATGCATTTTGTTGGTGGTTCCCGCCCTTTCCCCTTAGTTTCCCAACTGACAGGTCCCCAGTCAGATAACCTCGCTGGAATAAACTTTCTCACACTCTGATGTGCCCTGATCAGTTGATGTGACTGACCAGGTTTGGTTCTCATCACTGCCTCCCTTATTGTGTCAGTTGGGTTTGTGTCCCCCAGGTTTGTGTCCCCGTGCTTGTTCACGGCTTCTTCCTTTTCTTACTGTCTCTCTTGCACTGGGGAAGGTCCTTGACCAGATACCCTTAAAGGAACAGACACTCTCCTTCTGCATACAGATAATTGTGCCATGTAACGTGTCCTGCAATTCTAGTCCCATATTTGTCCTTACTTGGGGATTAGTTGGAGATGTCACATTTCATTCCTATGGTAATGAATGCATATAGTAGGATTATTTGCACTGAGTTTTCATCCTGATGCCTGAATAAGAGACAGCCAAGGTGAACACAAAGACTAGGAAGCTTGTAAGGTTTTTTTGAGTGGATCTTTTAATTGTAAAGGGCCCACTTGAATGTACAGAATTAGGAGATTATTTGGTGGAATATGCAAGAAAAAAATTGCAGGGTAATGAAGGGAGGGTGTACAGTATGGGAAGAGAATAAAGAAAATAAACTGTCCATTCACACAATCAATTCCATGGAATACCATAAAATGAGTTTCTCTTCCCTGTATGCTTTGAGCTGTTATGAGTTTGATGCTGCTGTCATGTTAGGGACAGCAAACCAGCTGGTCCTGGCTGTTTGCACACTTATTTGCAGACATTTAAAGATTAATATACAGCTATTACTTTTAGAGTCTTTCGTAAAAAAAAGATTGTGACTCCACTGCTAGAAACAGTCTTGAGCTATTCTCTTCTCAGCTATTGACTTTGTTAACTAAAAATGTCATTAATTTCTGTATTTATATTTTGCCTGCCTATTGCCTAAGAATGTCTTTGAGGATTTTTTGTTTCAGTATTTTCCTTGTTAGAAAAACATATTTTGCTATTAGAGGAGGATGAAAGAAGAATAAGGAAGGATAAATATATCAGCATTTGGAAAAGCTGCTTGGTCCATGTGTTGAGGGTGCCCATCAGGAAGGCAGATAGTGGAAATGACATTATGTTTCCTATCTGAAATCAAGAACAGTTAAATCAATTTCCTGTTTCAGTCTGCTAGCCAATAAATGCCAAATTTTACTTAAAGGGAATGAAATCATATTGACACCAGAAGGAACAGCCTTAAGTGTTTCTTCTCTTTACTCAGGTTCTCCACGGATACAGTTTTCTTCCCTGTGACTAAGCAAGCAATGTAATATGTAAACCAGTAGCATGTGGGGAGTATCTGCCTTGTGTCCTGGTTTTATGAACAATCTAAGGCAACATAAAGCCGTAGCCTGCTCACCTCCCTCTTTCTGTTCCCATGCTCTGCTTGCATTTGTGTCATTATAAATTGAACCAGACAAAAGATCCGGATCTTCGTTAAAAACTAATTTGGAATAGGAAAGGTGGTTCGGTTTAGTTACACCACCATTCAGTTTTCGTTTCTGGTCTGTAACACTACTGCATAAATAATATATGGCTCCAGTGTAGCTGTTTACTGTTGACAATACAGAAAGTAAAATGGGAGAAGAATGTCAGGAAAAAACGTAACAGGAATGACAGACCTGTGTCTTTGGAAGTAACTCCAATTTATGGTGCATTGTGCGTGAAACAAAGTCAGCTGTAATGAA